GACTGAGTCATGCTCAAAAAATTAACACAACCAAATCAATGAATTATAATAAATATTTCTAGTAATTTATAAACACAGTATTGAAAATAATTATGGAAAATCACATGTGATATACATAAAAGTCAGTATATTATTACGAAACAAAAGCAAACAAGTTGTCCAAGTATTTTGTGTTTGCTTTAAATAGAGCAGAACACCTTATTTTTATGAACACGAGTGTATCAGTATGTGGATGTAAAATATAGATCTAAATGTCCTGTATTACTCTCCACTATTCAACTGTTTTATATGGTTGCTTTTTGACCTTATCTGTTTTCATACAAGTTCATACAGCCTTAATAATAATCATACTAGGACTTTGTGCAGGCCAAACCATGGTCACAAATGTTCCATTGGGCTCTTCTTTTTTTTTTTTTTCTATGTAAGTATTATTTCACCATGTTTACTACATGCTTGGGAATACAAATTCAATGAATGGTAATAGATAAGAATCTAACTGAACTTAATAGCAGTTAATGACCATAAGTTTGGTGTAGATCTCAAAACCATTTAATGAGGTGCTGTCCTTGCACTGTATTGTTCACTAGCACAATTGTGTGTAGATATTGTAGGTTTACTGTGATATCCTTCACTCCTTTGCCAACAAACAAACTATTTGTAAAGAGCAAAACTCCTCTGGCCTTACTCATCTCATTTTTGGAAGTCTGATTCCCAGTTTAGTCCTCTGGTTTGGTTCTCTCTCCTATTTTAAAGCACTGATTCTTGAGCAGCTACGCATCCATTGAGGCTACTTTGTGCTTATATGCATCTTACTGTTCTGAAGGTATCATATACACCTGTGTTATTTCCAAGATCTCTGTTTGATTGTCATATGTAGTGTAAAGAACACATCCAGAGTTTCTTAACATCATTTTTGAGCTATCTATCTTGGCCATTTTTTGTTATTAACAGTACTAGTTTCACTTCAGTCGATTGCATATCATAGCCTTCACCAGTCACAACTTTGATTTCTACATGTCTTTCATATAGCATTCGCCAAAGTACCACTGGAAATAGTACGATTCTCTGTACCTTTACAGGGTGATCAGGGTGCTTGACTCACAATCTACAGGTCACAGCTTCAAATCCATGTCACTAATCCTGCTCGCCCCCTATCAGCCATGACAGTCAATCCCACTATTCATTGGTAAAAGAATATGCAAAAGTGGGCAGTGGGTGGTGTTTACTAGCTGCTTTCCCTTAAGTCTATCTTTGCTAAATATGGTTAGAGGAGATAGCCCTCAAATAGCTTTGTGCAAAATTCAAAATAAAACAAACCATAACTTTCAGCATGTGACTGTAATCTGGTGCAGTTCATTTTCATTTTATACCTATTTTATTCATTGTTTCCATAATTATTCTCCAATACCGTATAGATATATTTCTACTAAACATTTCATTCATTCAGTATAAAAAACACACTACCAGTTTCAATCATTATTCTTTCTGATGGAAGAGAAGCAACTACATCCACGTTTTCTGATGTTTTCAAAGAACTGCAAAGATACAGAAAGCTCCATAAACAGAAAATGATGAAATTTTAGAACATATAAATATTTTAAAGCACACAAAATATCACAGCCAGTGATTGGGACTATTGTTGTTTTTTTTTGTTTTTTTTTGAGATTTTTGTTTCAGTTTTTTTACAAGCCTAACCGGGCTGTTCTTACCTAGCCATCATATTGTTTTTAGTTGAGATTTTTTTTTCCTAGTTTTGTAAACAAATCATGGCACTGTTTCTTCTAGAACTTGCATAATTCTAGTATTAAAAATTATTGCAAGACTACTTTTCAAAAATGATAAAATAAGAATTATGTGAAGAAAGTTGTATAACAAATCATATATACACACACATTTGTTAACTAAATAGAAAGGATGCAGTTAACAGATTATTTTGGTGTTGTGTGGCATTTGTTTTGTCAAAGCAACAAAAGATTAAATTATTATGTAAATAAGAAAGAATATTTAACTGTAACTCAAGGAATAACTTTAGCTTAATATTTACCAGTATTTATTTGTTGTTATTATTAGTCAACAGAATAAGTTACGAAAATGATAGCATCAGAAAAGTTTTAATAATAACTTAAATCTAAAATTTTTTTTCTGTGAAAAAAGTGCACTGTGAGAAGGATTTACCAAAAACGTAAGAAAATAAAATTATCCCACACACTTGTTTTACACACAGATGTACTTTAAATGTCAAAAAATGATAAAAAATATATTGCTAATAAATCATACACATGCACTAACTTACCATCCATTAATGCCTATGTACAAACCAAGGTCTAGAAACTCTCTTGCCTCTTCCTTGGATCCATCAAAAGAATGAACCTTTTGAAAGTGAAATAACAAATGAGAGTTTGAAAAATTAAACCAAATATTATTCTGTTTAAAGCACAAGTTACAGAAAACAATCTCCATCAATGGGCATAAAATCTTTATTAATATGTACTTCTAGATTAATAATTATGCATATTTATATAGTAAGAGTAAAAGTTTTGAGTTTCTGAAATTGTTAGGTTGTTATTCCATTATCTTATGTATTACATACATATCTTTCTTGTGTTTGTGTGTGTATATATATATATACATACACACACACACATATATCAGAAAGAGTATGCCACTATCTGGCAGTTACTATTTGTTCATATCTGATGAGAAAAATGTTGGAGGGGCTGAAGATTAGATACTTGTAACGGTAGGCTCCATCAAAAATTGCCTTGTCTGCTTTGATGTGAGGCTCCTTTAACAGTTAAGCCACATCAAAACACTTGAGAAATGCTTGTGTAAGTGGTTAGTTAATTAGAGTGGTCCTGTATTGGAGAAGGAATGTGGACTATAATTTTGAATATCTGAACAAAATATGGCAAACTTTTAGTAAAATGTTCTACACAAAAGATCAGATGTGTTACAAAAGTATTTGTACTTAAGATATGTCTGTGAACTGATGATGTCAATCTGACTCAGACAAGTCAAAAGTGCAAGGTTATATTCATACGATAAAAACACTTTTGTCCATTGTATTTACATAAATCTGTAGAATCTGGTGGGCAACCTTTCAAAGAAAAAAAGCCACCATTTTTATGTTTTTATTTAAAACCAAATCACTTTGATAGCTGCAACATGCAATACGCTAAATATTAACATCTGATAAAAAATATGGAAATAAAGAAACATTTCATTCCCTGTTTATTTATATCACAATAATAAATACTATTTTATTCAGTTTTTGCTTTTATTCTTCTTAGCAAAACAGTTTACCTTTAAATAGCTAGATATAAAAACTTTTTTTTGTTAAAGTTATCACCACTTTTAATGCAACTTCTGCAGTTAAACTTCTTTCAACAGTTGCTCGATGTTTGGCAAATACCTTGTGACTTTAATTTTTAGGCAGGACTCAAGACTCTCATCCTTCAGTTGGCTTCTCAGTTTGCTCTTTATGAAATTCATGTTAGAAAACACTTGCTCACAAAGGAATGTTGATCTAAAGATTAACAGACGCCCAAATGCCTGTTGCTTCAGTTGAATGTAAGTGTCGGGTAGACAGTTCCAAACTTTAATTACAATTTGGTCCGGTTTTTTTAAGACCATCTACTTCAGTCCACTTGTTTTGTAGTGCAAAAGAATATTTCTGCCTCTCCAGCTTATCAAGTTCGCTAAGGAGGTCTTTGAATTTGGAATTCTAAAACTTTTTCTCCTGCAAGTCTGCTAATTCAAGTTCAAATTGTGCTCGATCAACTCCAGAAAATGTAGAAAAGTGTGGATATGTCAGCTTCAAGGAGTTTCAACAAAAATGACTAAATTGCCTTTGCATTTTGAGGATTGTTTCTGCAAGTAACTTAAGGTCAATGTTGAAGTCATTTGTTTGATTATGTTGTTTCAATGTTGGGAAATGCACTAACGTGTCTGTCCCAGTGTCCCTCTCAAATAATGACAACATTCATTCAAATGAAAGCACTTCTTCCATCCCTGTAGCTTCCAATTTAGCACTTGTTAAGTGAGAAATTATTTCAACCATGAAATAGAATTTCTGTAGCTACTAAGGATCTGTTAGCTCAGCATATTCAGTGCCCTTTTCTTACAAGAACACCTTCACTTCCTCAAGATAAAATGCAAATCACTTTAGCACTTGATCTCTAGAAAGCCATCATACCTTGTTATGCAAAAGAAGATCAGACTACTGGCTATTGACTTCTTTAAGAAGCTTGCCAAAATTGCCAATGATTAAGACTTCTTGCCATTATTTTGTTGATAGTCTTTACCACTAAATCCACAACTTTTGATATCTCCTCTGGAAAAGTTTGTGCACAGAATGCATCCTGGCGGATTATACAGTCAAATGAGATTACATCATGCTCACATTTTTTAAAAATAGAAAATGAAATGCTTTGTGTGCACCCTTCATGCTCAGTGCCCCATTGGTAGCAACAGAAATTATTCTGTCAAAGTTGATGAATTTTTGTTTCAAGAATTCAGTGACAGCAGATGCAGTTTCTTCCCCTTGAATTTGTCTTTTAAGTGGCAATAATTCGATCAACTCTTCTTGAGGTCCTTGAGAGTTCAGATATCTGCTGAAAATGACAACCTGTGCAATGTCATCCACATAGGAGGCAATAGAAAACCTTGATGCTGAATTTATGTTACTAACCTGCTGTTTGGTTATGTCTGTGACCATATTTATAGTGTTGTCTGTCTTTTACCATCTTCACAGATAATCTCGAATTTTTAAAACAATTTTTTTTTTGGAATCAATGAAAAGGTGCTTTGCCATTTTAATAAAACATTCTTTCACATATTTCCCCATCTGTGAATGGTTTTTATGATTTCTTGAACTGCCACAACACTAGGAGTAGTAGGGGTGCTACATGATTTTTTTCCCATTTACTAAAAGTACACTGTTTGGTACGCTCTATGCTGTAGTTCCTCAAAGGCAGATAATTTTTTGGCAAACTTCTGTTTTTTAAAAAATGTCTTTCTATATTTTATTTCTTGTTGTTGGCAAGTTTCTTATTGCAAATTAAACATAGCGGGATTCTGGTTGAACCCAATTTAAATCCAGTGGACTTGATCCATTCATTTTGAAATTCTCGAAGTTCATCTTCTAACTTTCTCTTTTTCAAAGATATTTTGATGTTCAAATATTTTTATTTTATTTTGAGTAATTCTACACCTGGTATTACATTTTTTTTTTCTAACCCTAACTGCCAGTCTAACATTATATTGTACTTCCAACTGCCTAATGAGGCCTCAACATAATCACTTACATTTGACATTTATATTCTAATTGTTTGACACTTGTTGTGTTGGTAATAAATGCTTTGGAATTTGTATGTAAAATGGAAGCAGATGAGAAGTGCAACTGTACCATGTTTCTTTTATTTAAAAATGTTCAATGAAATAAAGCAAATTTGATATTATCATTTCATCTGTGTGCCTGATTGAATCTTTAATACTTTGTTATACTGACAAATGAGAACTTATGCTTTTAATTTTTGGAGGAGTATTTATAAAGAGCCACACATAATTATGCAAAGAACTACATGAGCTTGCAAGCTGTAGGTTACCAATTCCTGCTCTAGAACTTCCAAAATTAGATATGTACAGTTATTTTTCAGTATCCCTGTATATTGTATCTGATATTTAATCTTCTCTACTATAAACTTTTGCTAAATCAGCAGTGTAGGGTAAAATAAACAGTTGATGACTCTGACATCAAGTACATAATACCATGTTGAATGGCACTGTAAAAGGTCATGTTCTGCACATTGATCCACACCTGTGCACACAGGGTTAAAGTGCAACAGCATAAAAGTAGACTGTAAATTAAATTTTTCATCATATGCCATACTGTAAGAACTATTTTTTATGTGATTTAATGAGCCTAAATTAAACAGATATAGATATTATCTTATGAAAGTTGGGGGCAGGTATATGACAAAATTGTTGAAATTATTTTCAATAGTTAAGGAATTTTTGTAAGAAATGAAAACATATTACAAAATGTCAGATTATGAAATTATTTTCAGTGTCATAATCTATATTATACATAGGATGGGGAATTTGTGGGAATGGGGAATTTCAGACACTCAAGATATCAGTCAACACTGATATGTTTTTTATTCCAGGAAAATGAATTAAGAAAATGAACAAGACCCAGTTTGTAAATGATCGATCAGTAATTTTTCCTTATTGGAAACAAGTCTGTACAAGTATTGCCTCAATATTTCATGATCAGTTTATACTTAACTGGTCTAATCACTGCAATTGTAAACACTTGAATGTAGTATCTGTTTAATATTTCATGAAATGACAAGTTTGTATGTTAACTGGTCTGTAGCTTTGGTCATTCTAACATGATATAAAGTGTCAGAAGTCCAATTTTTACTTATCATCTTAACAGTAAATATTTAGTGTCTCGAAATGCATCAGAGAATGTAGACCCACCCTGGCTTCAAGGGACCACCTAAGCTCCAGACCCATAGCCTTTAGAGGCTGAGATACAGCCAAACGTTTCATTTGCTGTTCTCAAATTTGATGTATATATGAATAAACATCATCAAAAACCCAAATTCTAAGAAGTAATTTTCAGTGGCTCTTGTTTTACTGTGGGAATTTAAAAGCACTTCATACAATAAACCTTGATCAAGTGGTTACTGAACATATGTTTAGAAACCTTTTGAAAATAAAAATTTACATTTGTTTAAAATATATTTGAACCTTATGTTTTTTTAAAAATGGATGAGAAATTATACTCAGCTCAGCAAAAAGTCAAGAATGTACATATAAGGAGCTTACTAGGAATGCTCAAGTTCAGATATGAAGCAACTAACAAATTAGACTTATACTTTACTAGTTAAAAAAAAATCATGCTTCTCACTTATTTGTGGCTGCTAAACCAGCAACAGATGAGTGTAGAGTCATGTACTGTTAATTATACCACTCAGACAGGGAATGTCTGATAAAAGCTAATATTTTGATTAGAACTGTAAAGTTAATGATGACATTTATATTTCAAAATACAGCAGATACAGTCACGTTTTAAATAATTTTGCCCGGTGCATGTGTAGAAGTCTGTACACTTACAATTACAAAAGACACTAAAACAAAATAAATCAGCAACGAAGATGATGTCTGAGATAAGCAGCAGGAGTGACAAGACAAGATAAAAAGTGGTGAAATAAGAAAGAGGCTAGGAATGACATTGTGTTCAACAATAATAGCAAATAAAATGGTTTGGATATTTGTTCACAGCATCACCAACACATCACAAAAAGCATACAACATGGTAATAATTGTGTGGAGAGCAACTGAAAGACCTCACAGAAAAAAGATGGGTCGATGATCTCAAAGATATCATCACATTGAGTTATCCAAAAGGCATAAGACAACATTTTCATTGCCCTCCAACATCCACAGGGATATAATAATAATAAGAAAGCAATGATTAAGTTTGATATACTAGTGCTGAACACCATATTTTGCTGGAGAACAGCTATGCTGATGTTGCCACACTTTTCTCATGCAGCTAGTGAATTAAATCCAAGAGTTCCAAATAAATGCACACTCGAGAAGACAGAATGCACAAAAGTCCACTGGACTTGGCATGTTTGTGGTTAAATGAGATTGCTGTGATTACAGCTTCTTCCATCATCTTTCATAAAAACAGTTGTTAAGTTCATGACATGATTGGAAGCTTCTTCCATCATGTTTCACAGCTAATAATTCTGTGTTGTTATAATAGAACTTACTATAATAAGATGAAAAATCTCCAAAGAAAAAAAATATACATTACTACATAACAAAAAGCTTCAAATAATGCATTATGGTTAGTACTTAGGCTTTAGTTATTAATACATAATTTTCATATGTCTGTCCAAAACCTTTACAGACTCCAGATGTACTTAATGATATAAATAATTAAAAAGTTACTGGTTTCTAAGAAATTCTCAAACATATAACATTGTTTATTTTATTACATATGTTAAAATTGACAGTAACTGTAAATGGTTTAACATTAACTGGGGCTAAAAGCAATTGTACAAGGTTGTAAAATAAGTTTACCTATAAATTTGTCATGATATTAAAATATTTAAATAAGTTGAAAAAGTTTCATAACTTTGTGACATCTAAACTAGTATTTATCTAATCAACAATGTAAAAAAATTGTATCAGAACATAAGTAGCTCAAAATATTAATTATCCCAAAATGTATTTTTTGTCACATTAGCAGTAAAAAAAAAAACGTCTATCTGGAAGTAACATAACTAAAAATATTAAATACAAAGTTTTATTTTGTGGCACAATACTGACAGAGTATTTCACAAAACTGCTTTATATATATAGCATTTTAAAATGTAATACAAATGAATTAAAACTGAAATAATTAAATTTTTAACTTATTGCCAGTAAAATAATTTCTCGATTTTCTTATCCCAAGTCATTTCATAAGAGTATACTCAAGGAAAACATAGAGTTAGAACTTAGACTTACAACTGCTGTGGAAAACCTTTCTCTGTTTCGCTTCAGTATGGTGACGAGATCTGAGGCAGAGTTACGACAATGTAGAAACATAGGCAAACATGTAGATTCAGCTATATCAAACTGATGTTCAAAATACCTAAGAGGTGAATATTTGATACTTGTTGTACTGACATTAAACAAGATATTTTGATACATGCTTAAGCTGTTATTTGGCAATGGTTCTGAAAGCTTAGAAAATATAAATTACCACTTCGTATTGGATACTTACACATACTAGTGAAACAAAATAGTATTTCATACTTCTATTACACACTTACATGAAACATTATTTGATAATCATACTGTACACTGAAATAAAACATTATATTAACACTTATACACACAACACATTATTTGACCCTTGTAGCAGACTTTTTACCGACATTTGTTCTGGGTATTTAAAAGAAAACATGTTATTTGACTTGTTCTGGACACTGAGACATCAATGTAAAGCTACATTATATCACTTTTCCACAATAAAATGTTCCAAGCCAAGGACTAAAACTGAAGTATTTGAAGCAAAATTTATACTGAAAGTTGCATTGTAATACAGTAGCGTAGTGAGAGGGGTGCCAAATTAACAGTTTACCCAGAAGTTAGCTATTTCCTTAAGAACAAGGCTCATTAAAAGGTTTTTGTTATGCTTGACATCAAATATTAGTATACCATCGGAAATATCATGCCCAGAGAAACCCCTTGTTTTTCAATGTTAGATTGATTAAAATACACTGACTTCTCAGAGTTGATAGGAAATTGGGCAATTATGTGACCCAAATAATTCTATCTCACGTTTATTTGTCATATAATAACAACAATCAGGAGAGTTGTGGTGCATTTTTATATTAATGTAAAGTATAACATACAACATATACAAACCATAGATCTTAATATAATGATTAAATTTATAAAGAATAAATCATAACTTCAATACAACTGACAGCCATGCAAGGGGCAACTGAACCAATCACGTGATATGTGCACATGTTCAAGTTGGAAGGGTGTTTGTTAGTGCTTCTCATGGACTTTAATTTCTTACCTGCAAGTTCCATTAATTTATTTTCATAACTCATTCTATAACTCCTTTTAGTTCTGTTATTTGTTCATATAGACCAGATAATCATGACAATGTGGTAAGATACAGTACCATGGTAGGTGGGTTTGCCATGTAAAGTTAGAAAATAAGAGTGCAGGGGGGGGGGGGTTGGAGAGGGGGCAAATTATATTTTGCCTCCAGGCACCATCACTCACTACTATTGTAGCATACCAGTTTTTGTAGTCAACTCTAAGAAAACGTTATAAAGCCTTTTAAGGAAAACAGAAGTCACACAAGTGTTTAGAGAAGTCTGCAAAAACATTCCATTTTGAGCTCAAAATTTATTAAATTCTGTGGGAAATTCACCAATATTCATTAACAGTGTTGGATGGAATGTTAATACATACACAGTTTGATTATTTTTATTTTTTTCAATATACATTATATTTTACACTGTTAGCTTAGTATACTTATATAGGACTAGCCCAAATCTTCTAAGATGGTGGAACATTGCAAGATATTATCAGGATTATGACTGAAAACATCATCAACAATAAGAATAGCCAAATGATGAAACAATGCACTCTAATTTTCATAAATAAGAATATAAGAAAAGTATATTTAATTAGCTATAGTCATTATTAGAACTAGGTTGAATTGTAGTTTTGCTCCGAGGAGTAGTTAGTTCTCATCGGAAGTTAATATTAATTCTCTACATCATGCAACCATAATTGATGAATCATCAGTTCTTTGTATGATGACTGCAGTAAACCAAAGGTAATGTTCTGAGAGTCTGAAACTACTACAACTATGTACAATTTATAAAATCCAATATTAAAGCTAATGAACAGCTCAACATTCTTAAGGAAATGATGCAACATGAAATCATAAAAAATTTGATTTTTTTAATATAACTTGTTAAAGATTTTGAAGCAAAATGTATGAAAATTATGGCCGCTAGAAAGCCTATAATGTGTACATATAGGCAAAATATAATTTTTTTTTATTAAGTCTTAAGGTTTGTAAAGCAATGTTCTTCTCGTCTTTTTTTCTTTTCACATGTTGACTATCTATCATGCAAAGTAATATTCATT